TTTTTTTGCGGGATGTTAAATTCTCTCGGATAGTGATTTACAGATACAAATTTTGAAGAATGGATTGCACCTTAAACTGAAGCTACATCGACTAGGAAGACCTGCATTGTGACTCAGTCAAAATTTCTGCTTGGTTCTCCACGCGAACTTTCAGTTGCCGGGTTAGCTTTGTTCTAGGATGCTTTTACAAGAGCACTCTTGGTCTGTGCGGTGGCGAGAACGGTAAGCCGTTCTGTCTAGCTGATCTAGACTTGAATGCTTGTCACATTTTACCACTTCAAATCCAACTTTCTGGAGGTTTAGAGCTAAAACTTTAAAACTTCATTCACCCTCTTGGTCCTTCCTTTTGGACGGATTAAGAAGACAAATGTACAAAGCCTGCATTGATCGTTCGGATTCATTGAGATTTCACCATTAACGCCGTCCACGCGCTCCAAAATACAAAAAAAAAATTATTTTGGTTTCACAAACGCGTCCTCTAAAGTTCATTTCCGCTCCACGGAAGGCCAAACATTTTCTTGGTCAATTATGACAGTTGATGACAGCATCAAATGTCGGTTCGCGAACTCAGGCGTGACAGACCAAGTGGGTGGTTTTCAAAATCCCGGGGTTTGTCTGCAAGCGTTTCCTTCCTTTCTTCCCCAACCCCTCCCCGCTCTTTTACTTGCGCCACTTTTCTCGCGGTCTTTGACTCTCGTTCCTCGTTCTTTTCGCCTAACCCGTACAGAAACGCTTGCTACGCAGGCTATTTTAAATGTTGTTAGGCTTCTTGTTTAGGATTGTCCTTTGGCTATTTAATTTTTGCTAATATTTGTATGAAGAGAACGTGTATAAGGTAAAGTTCATTTAATTTGGAGAAGGGGGTATGAAAATGTTTGGGGGGATGAGATCCTGGATGTGTAGGTTCGGGGGGCTCTGAAAAGTCGGTGAGGCCAAGGGGGAGGGCGTAAAATTTGGCAATGAAACTTAGGGCCTGATATCTCGAGTCGGGCTGTCTCGATTTGCAGAGATCCAGGCACCTTAGTTAAACGCAACAAAAGTCAACTTTGCGATCACATGACAACAAGGCCAGCACGGTTAGCTGAAAATTTTCAAAGTAATCACGCTTGCAAGACAGCCCCGCGAATGAACCAAGCGAGAAACAGGACAGCGAGTAACATACTGCTCGTGCGCGCTGCTTCCAATCTCTATATAAAAATGGCGACTCTGGGCTGGCCCAGCTAATGCAATAACGGGATAAAAGTCACCTCGGCAGAGCTAGGCAGCCCGACAAACCAGGCCAACCCGGCTCATGTGATCAGGCCCTTACCGTGGGTTGTATTGTCACGCAGTTTGCACATGAAAGCTTTGGAAGGTTGATCGACTTATTCTAATTAACCCAAGGGTTGTAAAAATAACCGTCACGCACTCATTTTACACGTGAAGTTGTTGGACTTTGCCTCTTTTGTGGTCCGTACGTCAAAGAATGCGACTTGTTTACGAGTTCGTTTTGCTCAATAAGATTTTAAGAAATCACCCCCTTTCCGAACATATGCAATGAAATTATGCATCATTCAATGTTGAGATTAATAGGCTGACATCAATTAGCTCCAATAAAATTATCAAACTGCCGATTGAAATACTTTTAATCAGGCCACTCATCGCATGTCATTCCCCTCATATCTCATGCACGATCACGGAGTTTTGCGTCTTTGCGTGACATCTTCTTTGGCTCTTGACAACTGAGGGGGAGATCTTTAAAGTGGGATCAAGTCCCTGCTAGCAGAGCTTTCTTTCCGGCGTGCTTTTTACCTTGTACGAGTCGTTTGTGGGGCAGACTTTGGCGTCGCTTGGCCTGTTTACTTGGCTTGTTTACTTTCGCACCTATTGCGTGCCTATTGCAACTTTGAATCAAAACAAGCGGTCTCGATTACTCTATTTGGGCGACGCCCAAATAAAAAGTCACTAATATAGGCGGCAGTTTCTCCTAAATTATTTTGAGACCCTGACGGATAGTCCGGACGGGGTTTGTCAATACTCACGACTTCCCACTCGTGGCAGAACGGCGCTTATCTAATTGAGCTTAACCGGCATTTACACCCTATTACAATAACTTTCTTATAGAGAAAATTGGGAAGATATCATAAAGCAATTTAAGCTTTGGACTGGCTCCGAGGGCGTGCAAAATAAAGCGAATACTGTGCTCCTACCTTGCTTGCTCAGGGTTTCCTGCTTTGTTCAGTACAGAAAGAAAATATTTTCGGCTTAGGCCTTATGATAAATCCTACATTATTTTATTGAACAAACTTGTTAGGCCTACTTGATAACATTTCGTCCCGAGAACCATGCGTAGTGTAGAGGAGGTCTTAGACCTTTATTTT